ACTGTGGAAGATTTTGAATCAATCCGAACGATGGACGAAGAAATTATTGAAGCACAAAAGGAAAATGAGAAAGAGCTGAAAAACGATTTAGATTTAGCCAATGGGCGTAATAATGATGTACGTTGTTTTCGTACTTCATCCCATTTAAGATCAAAATTCGTTCCACATTTTACCCTGTTTCCCTTACTCGCGCTTTTTGAGCCTGCCATGGTAGATGGAGGTCTGTCTTCTTGTCAACAACACCTGATAACTGAGAGGGATTATGATGCTCTGTTGTTCCAGAATTTTCTAAGAGAAAACTGAAGATGCTTCTGACTTCCAGCCATGCACTGGCCATGATTCATGCAGAATCCATCAGCACAGGAGCTGTTAATTTGTGGAAAAATTGAATTACTCTCCGATTGATTAGTTTTCCCTTGCTTGGTTGCTGTGAAAGAGAGGAGGACTGCACGGAGTCTGAAGAATTGCTTTAATGAGACCGAAACAACTGAACAATTTCGGCAGTTTTGAAGCTGCCTAGGTTTTTACCGCGCCGTGCATAAACGCTGCGTAGTTCGTTGCTGCACCCACACCACGATGAGATGATTTGGATCGAAAGGGTTTTGTGAAAGGGATAACTGTTTTAAGGAAAAAAAAAACAAGTACACCGGTAAAAAGGGCTAAGCTGACTGCAGCATGATTGTAGCATACAAGTAATATTAAAAATTTATATAGGGCAGGAATAGAACGAACTTTGTGTTGATGGATATAGGAATAAAGCTGATGTGGGAAAAATTAGTACGAAAGAGTTAAGACATTTCAGTCCATTAAGTCATATACGTCTTAGCTAACATTTCATGTGCTTGCAAAGGATGAGATATGCGTAAATTTTTTTAGTGTCAAACCGTTTTCTTCTAGCTGAATTAATTTCAGTTTATGCGACAAATCCGATCTTACGCTCAGCAAGTGGAAGATTATGAGAAAACGATAATGAAATTTCGTCAGCGTGTTGCTGATCTGAATGCTGAAATCCAAGAGCAACAGGATCAAGTAAGCTTTAGAATCTTCAAATGTTTATTTTGCTATTTTGATCAGTGATCATTCTGTCGCATTTTCACGTTATCAAACAAACTGACAGTTTTTTTTTGATTGCTGTGACCAGTGGTGATTACCGTCCCGTTGATCCTGTTGTTTGTGTGTTCCCTTTCTTCATTTTTCCAGAAAAAGAATGCTTTAAATTCAAGTAGAAGTACAACTTTAGCTTACTTAAATTTGGAACTTTGCACCTTCATGTGGCGTTTTTTGAATTCTTGCTTTTTTTAGATCATTAACTTGAGTGAACAGCTGAAAACTGAAGGCGAGAAGG